TCAAGATTTACTGCAAGATCAGCACAGAACAATGATATTTTTGGTATATCGAGAAAGAGGATTTTTACAGAACATCTGGCCCAAGTGAAGCATGAAATGGTCTGAAAATATCTCAGCTGTCCCTGTATTGATCTGACCAACTGCAATGTGCAGAAAAATTCATGAGACGAAAGAATAGATAGATAGATAGATAGATAGATAGATAGATAGATAGATAGATAGATAGATAGATAGATAGATAGATAGATAGATAGATAGATATGCTCGAACACACAGAAAGGCACAAGCTATGACAAAATATACAGCAGTATTTAATATCGTTACGCTTCGTTGAGGTTATGTATCTGTGGATCACTTTGAAAACTGCAAGCATATTAAATCAGCTGTGATCACAGTGTACTCCTGTATGTTGGAAGCATGAGACGATCAGCTCTGATAAAGGTCTGCATACTGCTCATTTCCATACGTCTCCCCTTGATCAAGTCTGCTCATTTATCGTCCAAATCTGAGATGACAAGCCTTTACTTATTTTCCCAGCTGCCGATGGTGATGAGAGCGTAATCAGAAACATCATTAGGTCCTACATAGATGGCTGTGCCTGTTAGTCCTTTTATCCGCACCCATAATAACTCTGAAAATGCAAATCAACTCCAGGTAATCTATTAATGTCACTTCAATTTTATGTCTACACTCCAATTTAGCAGATCTTGACACATTTGGCAGGGATCTGTGCTCTCATACAGGTATTCATTTTGCTGAGGTTTCACAGAGCATGGCCCATGCAAAGAGGAGATGGGCCATCTGTCTACGTGCCCGTTTATTAATCGCCCTGATAATGAAGCGAACTCACAGCCCAACACTCCTGGGGCAACTCTCACATGAGTTCCAACCGGCAAAACAACTTTCAGCAAGTTTGTTTCGCAATGTGGCAATTATTGTCATTTGCACCCCCCTTAGCACAGGAAGGAGGGTCTAGCAACCTCCTCCTAATTACCTGTTGTGTCACTTCAAGCAGATTTTGTAATTTCCAACTACATCACAACCCCCTTGTTAGCTGCAGACGGGTGGCAGAGCCTCATAATTCCAGCATATGGTCGACAGACATACAAGGGAATTTGTCAGCTTGTACTGGCCTTAAAGTTGAAGACCCCATTAACAAGAGAACAAAATCTGTTAATCTTGTGAGCTCTTTGCAATCCATGTGAAAGAATTAAAATTCTAATCATGGACCGGCTTGCAAAAATAAGCAGCTAACTCCCTCAAGTGACACTAACAAAGTTACAATGTAATGAAGAAACTGAGGTAGTATACCTACGTATATTGTTCATTGGATCAAATGAATGGATAATAATTTGCACCCTATTTGTCTGAGGATTAGAGGATATTATAAAAACATAAAAAACTGAATTATCCAGATTATATTTAGTATCCATTATTAAAACGGCAATTATTAACATTTTTTAAATCTATAAAATAATTTATTAGCATGAGTATTCTGGGTATGGTTTCTCATAGTGATGAACTGAGATTGCTCACAATGTTAAAGCAATAGTCCCTAAAGGAATTACAAGCAACAAGATACAATATCAAGAAATAAACAACAATTTTGTAACATATGGCACATATGTCGAAGTAAATAAAAATGCAAAAATATAGGAAGACTACAAGTCATGCGCAAGACAACTGAATTACAATAAAGTTTTCAGGGGACACCACATAAGACAATGTTCACAGTAGGTAGAGGTGAAATTTGAGGGAGGGGGGTTTTCAGGTGCAGTCGTTTTATTGTTGACAACCGATCCCATTCAAACCAGAACGCAGAGGAACGAACAAAACAAAAGAAAAGATGATACCGAAAGCAAATTGAGTTTTGAAAGTGGCCCATTTTTGTGATCTGCCAACTTTACCATGAGTTTAGGAAAAATCTAATTTTCAGAAAGCTGTACGTGATTTGCTCAGATATTCACTTTTTATTGTGCTTAATCATAAATCTATCAATTTTAGGTGGAGAGTTCATAGCTAGCATGAGCCACAGTAATGGGAAATGAAGTGGAATTATTCATAAAGGGTTTGAGCAGCCCAGAAAAATAAAAAATAAAAAATCAGTTAACACAGTTTTGAAGAAATTTTGTAGAAGCATTTTACCCCTAGAAAACAATTCAATGTAATGCACTCACAGAAGTTCTAGCAGCTTATGCTAATGGTTTCAAATGTGTTCTGACAGATTTGGCAGATTTAGTGAAGTTAAAACCTTTGCTTTCCCCTTCATCTTATTGTTCCACTGTACCTACAGAGACAATTCACTAAACAATTAAAATGTGAGTCACCTCCATTTTCAGCTATTCAGGAAAATGAAAGTCAGACAAAAGTCACAGAAAGCCACACGTCTTATCCGACTGGCCCTTTTTAAAGGAAGAACAAAAGGTATTTCTCCTTCATTTCCCATTAACCTCTATGCTCCTGCGCACACAGGATACATGGCGACCTCGGTGACCCGTGTCACATATCTCATGCGGCTGTGGGGACCGTTTCCTATGGGGGATGGTGACATTCAGTACGAGGATTCTCTATCTAGCCATAGTCCTTGACAGATAAAAGGTAGGTGTTGATATTTGTCCCTGGTCTCGCTGATACTGTGTGGATACACTCCCGATAAGCAAGGAGCTGCGAAGACATTGATGAAGTCTGAAGTGGAACTGACAAGCTCTGTAAGTGGATAACATCGTCAGGAGAAGCAGGCTGTTACGGTCTGGATTAGATTTTGATTATTTGACACAGGTGGGTTCACGCTAAGCAGAAATTCATCAGCACACTCAGCATTGTCTCAGCTTAGTACCAAATGTAATGCAACGTTTTTTAGCATGTGCAATATTGCATTTTAATGTTTCCCAGTTTCTTGTCACTGTGAAGATTTGCTCATACGACTTCACCATCTTCATCTCTGTTCTGCTCTCTTTCCTGTGGACTTTATTAGTTATGCGCCACTCAAAACGCAGGAATCCACCGAGTCCTGTGCAAATTCTAATTTACTGTAAAGAATCTGATGATTTATGAATATGAGGCGAGCGAGATGAACGACTTATTGTTTGTTTGTCCAGAGAGCTTAATTCTCCCCATAACACCACAGCACATGAAAACTTAACAAGAAGGAAACCAGTTGCTAAAAGAAAAAGCCTTTCAAACTAACAACTGAGCCTTCATGAATGTTTAATTAATCAGTAGTGACAAAAGGGAACAACAATCAACAAAGAGATGCCGATTTCCATTTCTTATGCATTATTCCCACTGGCAAATCACAGAGTGCTGTCAACTACCACTTTGCGCTCTACCCTATCACTATGGTTGTTACCGCACTCCACTGACAAAACCCTTGGAGAGCTACAGTACATTTCATTTGAGATCCAAAGCTGAGCAGCAGGGATCAAGTAACAGAGTTCAGACAAGAACAGTTCACTGTTACTTTGTGTTTACATGGATACTTTTGCATTGTGTTTTGTTCCTTTTTGCTTCCACAGCAGCAGCTAATAAGAGTCAGATACAGTTATCATGAGAAGCTGCACAGAAATATATATTTATATAGCTTTCCCCCTGAGAACCGATGCAAAGACTGCATCCTATGGGATGTACCAAATAGACTCCATTACACTCCTAACACCGTCTGTCCTGGCGAGTTATGTCAGCTTTGTGACAGGTAACAAGAGGAAGCTCACTGAGGAAACACAATAACAAGTGTATACCACCCAACAACGGACCCCAGCATCCTTGCTGAACTCCTGCAATGTCAACACAGCATAAAGACACACTCTGATCTCCTTCCTGCTACTGATGGAAGCATTTTTTTCTACAAGACTCAGCTGCGCCGGGGTTAGTAGTGAGGGTCTCAAAACAGTGTAACAATCCACTTACAGGCTTCTGTCTGTCCTAGATGAGCTGCATTATCATCATGCAGTGGTCATTTAAATGCATGGATGAAATAAGAAGGAGAATATATGAATATATTAGCATACAGTGCAAGGGCAAAAGTTTTGCGTACCAGTTTGAGGGGGCTTGAGGAATAGTAGCTTGCAATTGGCGTCCGTCAGTATTGTCGCGCTAACTGACAGTTTATGGGTGCACATGCAAACATATTTCTCAACCATGATATTATTATAATGCTTAAATCTTGAAGTAACAGCCGTCCATATCAAGCCTTTCCTACTTTGAGGACTGTTACGCTTTACTGTTGTGAAAGATGGGAAAAAAAGACTAATTGTAAATGCTTTTGACACAAAATAATGCAGTCCACAGAGGTTCACCCTCTTAATCTCCTTGCCATTGCTTTCAACATCAATCAGTATTATATTCTGCACTTTTAAATCCTTGGATAAACATCTATTATAGTGTGCTATAATAATTTTACAGTAACTGACAGAAAGTGCAATACCCCCGCCCCCCACAAAAAAAACGAACCCAAAAATGGCCCCTGACCTACACAAAGTGGAGAATAGCAGATTTATGCCCTAAGGCAATATCTACATATGCTGCTGTAGCCTGTCCGAAATGTACCACTGGTGCCTTTCAGCTTGTGCAGAATTTTGATTGTGTATGAAAATTTTAAGAACTCACCACATGCTTGCCACATGTGGTGAGTTATTTAATTTTACAATCTAATATCTGGCTCATGTTTCCATATTGTTAGTTCTTTGTAAGTGAGCTGTTTGTTGAGAGCCTTCCCTAAGTGTGTGTCGACATTGACGCTCGATGTTCAGTCACAGCACTGAGCTGTGGGTGAAGTCCTAGTGATTTGATTTGATTTATCATTCTTGTATTTTCATTTGTGGAAAAATACTCATAGCAGGCAAGCGTGTAAATAGGCATACTCATTTCCTCTTGTTCTTATTCACTCATTATTTTTATGCAATAGCCCATTAGAGATCAGCCGTCTCGGAAATCTCACAGACTGATTAGGCTGCTGTGTGAGGCAGGGAGCAGAAATGAGCTCTGTCTGTATTGTGACTTACCAACAGCAGACATTTCTTCAACAGCGGCATGATACGGGCCTTCGGTGAACTTTGGTGCATTGTCATTTATGTCCTGGACTTTGATGATGAACTCAGTCATGGGCTCCAGAAGCTGGCCTGTAATACCATTAGTGACTTTGGCGGTTAGTGTGTATTCAGCCTTCTCCTCGCGGTCCAACCTCTTCATCGCGTGGATGTCACCTGTCTTCTCATTGATGGCAAAGATGGTGCCTGCCCCCTCACCTGCAAGGCTGTATCTGGCTGTGTCATTGTCCACCTTGTCTGTGTGAAGCTGCAATTAAAAAGAGAAGAAAAATAAAGGATAAGTTCAATTTTGTTACAAAGTTCTCAGTTTTTTCCCCATAGTGTAAAGACAAACTTAGGGAGCCGGGTGTGAAGAGCTTTTAATGAATGCAAGCTGATATGCTCAGCAGATTCTACAAGTTCTCACCACATAAATGCAGTTAAGTATACAGTATGACCATAATGCGCTGTTTGCACTGCTGTACTCTGTGGAAACTAGATACTAAACGTGGCTCAGCATAGCCTACACTTTGCTAAATGAGGCCCGCTGGGGACAATAACTTTATAAGTTGCACAGGAAATGGACCTTAGTCTAGGTTGTTCCTCGTTATACATCACAAATACATCACACAAACATGTGTTATGGGGTATATTGCTCCCTACAGTATGAAATTTACCGGACAAAGACGTTAGATGTCCTTTCAATGTTCATCGTACTACACTGGAAAAATAAGAAATCCATTAAAAATTCAACAGGAAACTCTACACACAATGATGCATTCTCTCAAACTAGCCCCAAAGATACTGGACGATGGTTCATATTTCTCATTATTTTTGTAATTACCGTTTCATTAGTTCACTAGAACTGCATGCCCGGCTGAGTGGTTGGATCCCACTCATTGCACGGGCTGAGTATAACTAATGAATTTGACGATGCGGCATGAAGCTGTTCAAATATCTGCGCTGAGAAGAGCAGGCAAAATATTCTGCTGTTTCAAGTTAAAAGGGTCAACTGAAAGGGCACAGGATACAATGGTATGGACACAAAGAGGTCAGGGAAAAAGAGAAAGAGCCGCCTTTTGACTCAAAAGAAGCAAAGAATTTAATTTTTGCTCCTATAAAGAGACAGAGCATTTCCTGTACTTGAAAGTCACCTTTCATATAAGCCTCTTGAATCCTAAAGTGAGTGAGTGTCAGAAGGGAGGAGAAGCAACATTTACAAATCCAACAATATAGCTGGGACACGGCTGGCAGCACTCTTCTTTTCAGTTTGTATTTTTGTCAACTTATGCGTCTCTTAAAAACACACATGCGCACACACACACACACACACGTGACCAAGTACACAGTCATACATCAAAACATCTGTATTCAGCAGCTTTAATTTCATTCCCTGCCACGGCGTTTCAACAGAGGGTCCTGTGGGAGCACGCTTAGGGTATAGAATAGCAAGGTAGAAATGTGTTGGTGACTACAGACCCCTAAACCCCCTGCAATGTTTTCAGAACCTGGCTTTTATGCATATACTGTCTCCGAGGTGTTGTTTGCAGACACTGACAAAGCACATTCGCTTAAATTGTCACACCTTGCACTTTTGTTTTCCTAATTGTGCCATCATTTCACATGAATGATGTAGCTCATTAACACAAATGCCTCGCAACATCCTGCACACTGAGAAACTCTTTAAATGAGCTCAAATTAATGATGGTCTGTCATTGTTTTTTTTGTTTTTTTAAATCCCATGCATGACTACTTATGTGAAGTCTAAAGCCTGCAGCTCAGCATATATGACTGCATGTTGGTGCTTCCCCGCAACGGGAGGCAAACTGACTATTTTAGCAGCATATTGGTTTTGGTTTATTCATTAATCATAAATATTTTTAGGTAAGCATCCTGGATTTAATCCTGGTTTGTTTCAATGTGATGCGCCACTTCTTCACTCTGTACTTATGTAAAGAAAAAAAAGAGAAAAAGAAAACCTTTTTGATCAGCTGCAGAGCAATACTGCGATTTTATAGTACTGTGATTGTGTCTGTTTCCATATGTAATGCCCACAGAGAGCTTACAGAGAGACATTTTCAACCAACGCAAACGTGCTTCTGTGCTGTCATCCAACTGCACTTTGCTCTATATAAAAGTACAGGCAGGGGCTGCAGTGGACACTGTTTTATTGTTTTTAACACTCTGTTTCACTTCAGTACTGTGTCTGCTATAATCCCACTCTTCTCTGCGGCTGGCTGATGGACCAAAAACAGTTTAAAGAAGAGTAGCCCAAAGACTGGTTGTATATTTTTGACACTTCCCCCACATATTTTAATAATACCCCATTTGCCCCACTACCTGCTCTCTCCAGATAGAAAGCTGGCAATAGCTGCTCACACACTGCTTAGGGACTTCAAATGTGCTACCACCGCTGAACCATAATTTGGCCTTGAGGCAAGCTGAATCCTGCTTGTCTGCTAGTTTTGTCTTGAGGACTGGACCACTTTTCATGCCTGTCTTCCCCTGCCTCCATCTCAGTGTCTGAGAGTCTTAAAAATCAAGCCCACTGTTGCCTGCTTGCCCCAAATAAAATTCAAATAAAATTACGGCCCATGTTTATTCCAAGCTGGAGGTTGCTCCACTGAGTCACACTGCCATGTACATCTGTGCTGTGCCTGTTCTCCTATTAAACCCAGAGGACTTGCACAGGTGTAGATAATTTTGTGAAGTTGTATTTAAGAAATTTTAAACATTTTCAAAAACAAAAATGCAATAAAAAGTGTCTAAAAATCTACTCTAATAAACAACAACAAAACATGCAACTTATAAAGCAATCAAAATATTTTAATAAAAAAACCACACCATAAAAATCACACTGCGAAGTGCTATAATTACTACAACCTCATGACACTTAAATAGTTTGAATAAACAAGTGAATAGAACCTAAGTAAAAATAAATAAATATTTAAATAAATAAATCTTTATTTAAAAATAAACAAGTTTGTATTGTATTATGGTCCCAGTACTGGCTTAATATGTGAGGAGTGTGGAGATTAATTCTTGCTCTCTGAAATGCTTATCCATGGTTGTATGCTATAAACTCATCGCATGGAAACGACCTACAGTATTATCATGTGACAAAATAAGATGCTGTGGTTTTCTCACATACAGTTAAATCATAAAAGCTGATTTTAAATGTTATTTTATCATATGTATGGATATTGGTGCTTGTCTGCGTTTCTCACGTACTGGTCAGGATGCGCCACAACACCTTGTACATATGGATGCTTGAGACATGGCATGTCAGATTGTTTTTCCTCATTAATTAACCAAGAAACCAAACATAATGAAAAATATTAAAATTAAGTTGCTAAATTAAATAGACTGCGTCAAACACCTAACCCCTGTTTCCCACCCAGCAAACATAAGATAGCAAAGACAGCTTTGAAGCTGAATAATCTAAAAAAAAAAAAAAAACATTTAGAAAAAAATTAATGCCCACTAAAGATGAGTACCACTGATTAAAACACATTTTGAACTAGGATGGGGTTAAATCTTTTGTCTCTTAGCTTCTATAAGCATTTTTTTCTCTTCTTTTTTTAAAAAATGACATTAAACCATTGTATAGATTCAAGGTAGAGCAATGTTGCCTTGTCACAGAAACCTAACAAAAATTCAGAAGATGAATAAAAGCTTGATAGAAAGGCATGCTGTGTTTCATATGAAAAAGAAAAGTCACACATTCAGTCATTTTCCCAGAAGCTGCCACTTTTGACTTTAAATTCACGAAGGGTTGAGTTGAGCTAGCTATAACCAACAACAATCCTCAAAACTGTCTCCTCTAAATGCCCTGGGAACCCACTTCGTACACAGCCTTCACACTAGAGTGCACAAATTCTCATCAAAGAGTACAATTACGTGAAAAAAAAAAAAGTCTGTCACAGGTCCCTGTCATTAACTGAGTTGCCTGGGCAACTAAAACAGCACCAACAATCAGTGACATTGACTGTGGCATTCAGGAAACTAACAGATAATGGATAACAACACTGTAGTTGTGATGATTATGTGCTACACTGGTGTCAGAAAACAACAAGTATTCTGAGCACAGGGTGAGGAAAGCTTACACCACAATGTCTGTCGTGTCTGTGTTGATAATGTATTGGCTTAGTAAGAATGGCATTGACGATATTAGCATCTGTCTTGGCATCGAGTCAACGCATTGCTAAAACTCAAATAATACGCAAACATACTACTGCTCTCATGTGTATGTCCAGTCTTCTCATAACTAAAGTGAGCATCGACTGCATTATTCCATGAACGTCAACTAAATCTATCACAAAGAAGAAATAACGTTGTCTGTTTGTGCAGCAAGTGCATCCAGGCTCTGGAAGTTATTATATCTCTCGCTCTAGCCGCTGTAGGTCAGGTTGTTGAAAAGACAGACATCCATATGTTTTGAAGCTCCAGTTCAGAAAAAAAGACTTGGGTGACAGAAGATATTTTCCTGTGGCAATACGTGTGTGCTCTGATGTCTGCCAGTATACACACACACACACACACACACACACACACACACACACACACACACACACACACATAAACATAGAGTACTGCACACCTCCATTTGCCAACCGCAACTCCCAATCAGGGGCTGCATGGGACTGCTTATCCTGTCAGCGGAGGAGGAAACATGTCAGTCCCTGCTGAAGATGAGCTTTTATGGCAATCACTTGAACAATCACTGTGTCCTAATGAGGAAGATTCTACAGATTCTACTCCCACATATCCCCCACCCCCGCCATGGGCCTGGGCTCCTGATGCTTAAGTGTAGCCCTACAGAAGGAACTAATGATTTCCCTAGTTGTCAGGCCAAATGGTAGATAGGACATGTTCTCCTCCTATGTATGTACCAGTAGGACTGTAGAGGGAGAGAGGAAGACTGACGCAAAGAGGGAAAGGGAGGAGATACTGTCACTGTGATGCTTGTCAGCTACCGTCTGCAAGAACAGACTTCACACAGTACGTCGGATTGCTTTCTGCAAAGTCTACTTCAGTTGGAGTAAGGGTCAGAGGTTGATGAATTCGATCTGCAACTGTGTTGGTTTTTTATCAGTGGTGGAAGAAGTCAGATCCATTACTTTTGTTTACGGAAATGTACAAAAATGTAAAAATGTTCCAGGTCTGCAGTTAATATTATACATGGAATCACAGTGATCACAAAAGCAGGAAAAGTAAAATAATTTTTTCCGCCAAAAAAAGAATGAATGATATTTAACAAATTATCAT